AGCAAAACTTCTTGGAACAGCTATACATTTCACAGGGATATAGAAATTTAGAAATTTGAGTTCTATGCATACAAATATTTTTCGGTTTTTTGGTAGGGCATAGTCCTGAAAGAGAGAGGAGATTTTGGTTTGCAATCAGAATCTCTACGTTTTCGTAAAGCCTCCTTAACCAGTAAATTACGAGGCGGAGGACAATATTTTTCACGTTTTACTCATTTTTTTCAATTTTCTTCATTCACTAAAGGAAGCCCCCTTCACGTAAATGTAAGTTAACCAAAACAATAAATCGATGTGAACTAACGGGCAAAAGGCACCAGGTAAATCTTAACTCCTTTGCCTTTAAATAGTCAATAATTCTTGTAAAACCATGCTATACTACATATCTTGCCCCTAAGTTTTCGCCAAAACGTGCTATTGGCCTACTTGACCCTTGATAAATTTGCTAGTTCACGTGACATAGTCGTCCACAATACGAGCGAATCTTGCTTAACTATTTTAGTAATAAAGAAAGGGAAATATTAATAAGGACAAGTATCGCATGTTTGTTGCGATTGAAGAAATTTTGAATTGAAAAACATGTGTATAAAAAATATGATAATATGGTTAAAAATTTTAAGTGTTTAAAATATTAATAAGGACAAGTATAGCATGTTTGTTGCGATTGAAGAAATTTTGAATTGAAAAAAATATGTTTAAAAATATGATAATATGGTTAAAAATTTTAAGTGTTTAGTATTAATGTGAAAAAGATAAAATATTTAGATTAAAATTTTTAGATGACGTTTATGAAATTTTTTACTATAAATAAGAAATTAAAACTAATATATTGAAATGTTTCGTTACATATATAAATTGTGTAAAATTTAAAAAATTTTAATAAATTTTAATACATTTTTTAGATAAAATATTTTTAGTAAAAATGTTCCAAAATTTTTATAATTAAATACGTATCGATCAATTTTAAATTATAAATAATTTTTAAATAATTTTTTTACATATTATTGATTTTCACATTAAACTCTATTAATCTATCAGTTTATATTTTTTATTAAAATTTTTATTCAATCATTTTTAAATGGAATTTCATAAACTTTACTTACATAATTTTATGTAAGTTTTGTCTTATGAAAAAGTGCTATGAATATTTGAAATGTTTTAAAATATATTTATAAAATAATATAAAAATTATAATCAAATATTATATCTCATATAAAATTTTAATAAATTAAATAAAAAACATAAACTAATAAATGAATCAAACTTATAAGAAAGAGAAATTATCATAAATATTAATAATGGAGTTTTTAGATTTTATAAGCAGGATAAAGAGAGTAACATATAAGATATAGAAATTATTAAAAAGGTAACATATATTCTTTATGATATTAAAAAAAAAAATAAAACATATGTAAACTTTTAATACCATTTATAAAATTATAAATTTGATAAAACTTATGTGTACTTAAAAAATCTCTTAAGACTTCATGGTTTCAAAACCTTTTGTGTCTCTTAATAATTTGCAAATGAATGCAATGGTGGTTAGTCTTGTGACTCTTGCATAGGCTAAATCGTCCTTCACCGCTTGACAACATTCAATGGTCAAGCAGCTGCATGCTCTTCTCTTGATTGACATCAAAATGTTTTGGGAGCAAGTACCTATTACAATCAAATTAAAAATCTTTAATTTCATACACAAGTGAAGTAAGAGGTGCCCTTCTCATCCAATTGATGTCTCCTTGGACCACCTCCTTTCATTATTGCAAAATTCAAGACTCCCTTTAACCCATGCCTTGGAATTGACATACATGAATGAAGGAAGGATCAGCTTGGTCTCTCACTCAATGAGGGAAAAAGAAAATACATATTAATTTTCTTATTACAAAAGACGTAAGTTCTTAGAAATGATAAAAAAATTACAAATATTAAAAGTTAAATTCAATCTAACTAATTGTAAAAATTTATCTTTAAAAAAAATAAATGAATTATTCAGATTGAATCTCGAATTCAAATTCATATTAACTTTGTTACCAAACATAAAAAATTTTGCATAAAAAAATGTTTTAAAATTGGATAAAAGTCCAAACAAAAATAACAAGCATATTTATTAAAGATTTTCTTTTTAATTTGATAAATTTCCTAATTGAAAAAGGTTTGGTTAGAATTCAAATCAATTTTGAATTGCTTGACATTTTAAAACTTATTTTACAATAAACAAAAACAATTTTTAGATTTTTTAAAAACTTTTGAGTTGCAATACTTAAACTACATAATCAAATGTTAATACTTTTTCAAAGGGAAATTGGAATCATCCAATAGCTTGAGAGAAAGATGCACCACCTTCTTACTTTGGAAGTGCATTTACCATGCATGTGATGATTAGGTCAACCTACTTGGTCCTTAATTAATACTACTATATTATAAAAACCTTAGTACTTAAGTTTACATAACATGCAATGTGAAGTATTAAAGAATAAAAACGAACTTTTTTTATAAGATATATCGTAAGATTAAATTTCGATGTCAACATTTATAAATTTTTATCTTTTTCAACTCTACTAACCTATAATCTCTTTTGTAAATAAAGAGGGCAGTTCCCACCATTTACAGAAAAGTAAAACAAGGGAAGTGAAAATAAATTGAAATGCAAAATCCCATCCAATAGACAAGAAAAACAAAAAACAAAAAGTGAAAACCCAAATTTCACATCAGGATGACAGATGTCAGCCATGCGAAAGAGGTGTCGAGGCTTTCAGTAGAGAATAAGTAAAGTTAACACACACGAAAAAAAAATTCGGGGGCAGACACAAACGCACACAAAATTGACACAAAAATTCACATATGATCAAGCAGTCAGCTGAAAATATGAAAGTTTTTTTTTTTTTAATTTTCTAGCCCTGTTGCTTCCAGTCACACCTGCTGCAGTACAGATGGGCTAGGCGTCTCTTTTTCGCACCTTAACCCAATCTCGGCGCTTATCTGGTCCATAGGGTGGCGCCACCTCAAATAAAGACCATCCATGGTACGACCCTCCCCCCTACCTCTAATCTAATCTAATGCTCTTTTTCCAGTTTCCATGCAAACCACTTTCCACTCGTAAGTTCAAAACTTAGCTTCTGTATAATAAAATTAGTTTTTTAAAAAATAACAAAAATTATTATAGTTATAAATAAAAAATAATTTATTATAATTATAATTAAAAAAATAAAAATAAATATATTAAATAAATTTTATTAAAATTAATATTTAAATTTAATTAATAATACGATATATAAATAAAATTCAAATATAATCTTAATCAATAATATTACAGTGGTAATTTTTTTTTTTTTCGTTATTACATTAATTTCAAATTTACTCTCATGCAAAAAAAAAAAAAATTGATATAAATAAACTCAAAGGAGAGAAAAACTTTTTTTTGACAACAAATAATTCTTAGAATTTAATCTAAGGAATTTAACCAAAAAATTTCGAGTTAAATCCAATCCAATGTAATTAATTAAGGCTAATTGGATTGAAATTGATTAATTGAAAAAATGATCACGGTTTAACTCAATTCGCAAAGATCTAACAGATTCTGGATTAATAAAGTGATTGTGTAAGAAAAAATGCAATAACAGCTGCCAAGAAGAATCAACCAGCAATTACATAAAATGGAAAGGAACAGACAATTCTCACCCGCGATCAAGTACGAGTACGCAAGTAATGGGTTGCAGCTAGGCTTAGAAACATTTTTAAATTATTTGTTTAATTCATGTAAATATAAATGGGAGTTTTAAAGACGGAAAAAACGTTTCATAAACGCAATTACACTTATCGTACTGTTATTGCACTTTATCTCACCCAATTAGCTTACCTTTCAATAATTTTTTTTTTTTACACTTAAATTTTATTTGAATAAACATTAAAATTGATTTCGATAAAATTAAAAATAATAATAATAATTATTATAATTATGATTAAAATATATATATTATAATTATGATTAAAAAAATTAAATAAATTTTATTAAAATTAACATTTAAATTTAATCATTCAACGTGATGAAATCCAAACATAACTTTAAACATAATTTTAATTTTGTTAAATATCAAAGCTTGCTTGTATTATGTTGGCTAATCTATTGTTAGAGATATCAACGGTGAGAAATTTTTATGGCACTGAATAATTAAATCGCTTTTTTTTTTTTCTTAAATATCAGTCAACAAAATGATACCTAACGTCTAGAATCATTATTCAATTTGAAATCTGAAATTCAATTTCATTCCAAAATTAACAGATTGTTTTTACAAAAATTGTCTATCATTATATGCTTAGAAATTAAAGTACACTTTTACTTAAAAACAAATCAAAATTAATCGATTATCTTTTGAATCAATTGACATGTTATTAAAATTTACACTTAAAAATCATAAATTTGAAAGAATTTAAACGCATAATATTTTTTTTCAATCAGATATATAATTAAATATATAATTAAGTCAAAAGTTTAAAGATAGATTGAAAATTAAAAATAAAATCAAAATAAAATTTATCATTATTATATTATAAGTCAGTATTGAAAATTTCTCATTATATTTCAATTTCATTAAAATTCATCATTGTATTTATAATTTTTGTTGATTTTGGACATAAAATAACGAATTAGTGAAAATTTACTTTATTGTTATCTAAAAATGATAAAATTAAATGTATGATTACAAAATTTATCATTTGCATTAATAGAATATTTTGTAAAATATTTTCTTTTATTATTTTTTTGTAAAATATCAATAAAATTAAAATATTATGACAAAAACATTGCTAAAATAGAATTACAATAATAAAATTTAATATTTAAATCATAATATGATAATTAAATTTCACAACAATTAAAAAATTCAAGGAGAAATTTCAAGAAAAAAAAAAAAAAGGAAAAAGGGTACAAAAATTGACTACTAGGACAGCTACAAAATGGTTTTGGTACCAGTTGCCGTATTAGCCCAAATCTCAATAGCCTTCTTCAGAAAAAAAAGATCCTGTGGCAGGGGCAGTAGCAAAGAGAGAGAAAACTGAAGTTGAGGACAGACAAAGAAATTTTTTTTTTTCTTTTTAGACAGAGAACAGAGGCAGAGGCCGCAGAACCAAAGAAACAGAGTATTTCTTACTCTTTTTTCTTTCATTTCAATCCCAGAAAACCATGCCTTATTTCCTCCTCCATTAACGGTCACCTCTTTTCTTTTTCGTTTTTTTTTTTTTTTTCAATCCGAACTCATTATTATTACTATTATATTGTGCCCTATCAGCCTACCGGGATCTCTCTGATTCTTCTCCTCTTTCTTTCTTTCTTTTACTCTTTCGCATTATGAAAAATCACATAGCCGACTCATTCCTTTTGAAGCTTAAATATATTTTAAAAAAAGCCTTAACGTAACCAACGAAAATTTGCCAGAAACAAGCTTCCTTCTCTCGTTGACATAGCCATATGTACTTGTTTATGAAATTTGGTTGTTGAATCTGATCTGGGTTTTTGTTGTTTGGGGGTGAAAAGAAGAGAGAAAGGAAGATGTTAACGTGTATAGCTTGTTCAAAGCAGCTAAACAATAACAATGGATCTATTGGGCAACAGGATGAAGATACTTCGGAAACTCCTAGGACTAGGCAAGCCATTAAGGCCCTCACTTCTCAGGTATTGTTATTTATTATTAAATGTAGAAATTTGCATACATGGCTTTGTGTTTGTTTGCGGAGAAGATGCAGGAAAAAATGACTAGGATATTTGAAGTTCTGCTTTGACTCCAGTGAGTTTTTCACTGTTCAGAAGCTGGTAAAAGGAAGAGGGATTTTTCGTTATAATTTGACTTTGGTGGGTTCAATATTGTTTTCTATGGTAAAATAAGCTTGGAATCAGTTTTCTGTTCTGTTGCTTTCCTCCATTTTCTTAGCAACCAAAGTTAGTAATCCTGAATCCGCCATATTTCTTAAATCTTTATCGACTTTGTTTTTCTTTTTCCTTTCCAATTTTCAAAACAAAATGGAAAAAGCAACAAAACCCTGAATTTGTTTTGTTTTCTAGTTGTTTTTTCTTTCCAACAGAGTAAGGCTTTGACAGGGTTTTTTATATATTTTTAGATCAAGGACATAGCATTGAAAGCATCAGGAGCTTATAAAAACTGCAGGCCTTGTTCTGGTTCATCAAACCATAACCATAACCGGAACTATGCAGACTCCGATGCCGCCTCTGACTCGGCACGTTTCCAATGCCCTTACCGTAGAACAGGAAGCTCGAATTCGACGCCCAGAATTTGGGGCAAAGAGATGGAATCAAGACTAAAAGGACTTTCCAGTGGTGAAGGTACCCCAGCCTCTGTTAGTGGTCGTACAGAATCAGTAGTGTTTATGGAGGAAGATGAGCCTAAGGAATGGGTTGCACAAGTGGAGCCTGGTGTTTTAATCACTTTTGTTTCGTTACCTGAAGGGGGGAATGATCTGAAAAGAATTCGATTCAGGTACGTTATTTTGTTATGGTATATATGATAGTGAAGGTTCTGATTTGTCTGGATGTGATCACATGATTTTTATTTTTGGTATTGAAATGGTAGCCATATTTGTATAGTCCTTTGTGGTTGAAACTTTTCTTGTATATCAAATATCTGGTTTTGAAGTGTTATTGTTGTTTTGTTTTGAATGACGTTCTTCGCTCTTGAGTTTGATATTGAAGGTTTCAGTTTGTTGGATTGTGATTGCATATAGTAAGTATGCTGAAGGTGGTAATTCGAGCTGGGGTATTTTGACATTATCCTTTGTCATTTTATGTGTGTCATGAGTGTGACTGTCGCACTAAATTTTCATGTGAGGTTCTATGAGTGAAAATCTATATAGCATCATTGAAGTGGCCCCATATACGGGTCTCTCTTTATGGTTGGTCCACTTTTCATATAGCTTTTTTGCATTTCCAGTGAATCATGCAATATTAAGGGCAATAAGTCCTTGTTTCCTGTCTAAATAACTCAATTTAGAGCTAGATGGTTAAAGCATTCAATCTGGATGTGTTTCTGACTCCTTGGACAGTGGGTTGTAATCTTGGTATGTGCATAAGTTAACTGGAACTTGAGATGACACTTAGGGCCAAGTTCTATGTGATCTTTCTGTAGGCAGTGCACTGATTGGTGAATCTAGTGTAACATTAAAGGTCTAAAGAAATGTCTTCTTCACATCCGATGTTGGTACATACAATTGCCTTTCGTCCTCCAGGGAGTTCACTGGCAAAATTTACACTTCCTGATGATAGTGACCACCAAAAGCATTTATTAGAATCACAAGAAAATGTGTTTTTGTACATCAAGTCATTGCTTGTCAATTACCCGTTGTTTTTGTATGGGCCAAAATATCATATGAACCATGTAAAGCATTTCATTTTTTAACTCCTTTGGGAATTTTGGACAATCTCCACCAGGATACCATTTTCCTTTCTTTTTTGCTTCTCATGTAGGAACCTCGATGGCTTCAGTTTCTAAGCAACAATGGTTTCTAATAACAAAAATTCCTACTATCTCATAATTTTCAAAAGTGTATAATTTGACAGAAGATTATGAAGAGATAGGACCATAAATTTTGGTTGTTTACTGACTGATTTATTACAGTTTTTTCTTCATCTCTTAGTATTTTGACAAACAAGCTTCTTTAGCTATTAGGAATAGATACATGTGGAGCTCTCATCTTGCATAATTTCTGGAAATGATGATAATATATTTATCTGAAATTCTGAAAGGGAAAAAATCACACTTTTTTTCAGTTCCTTTCTGTTTCCTCCTTCTTTTTTTTTTGGTTTTGTCCTTGTATTGCACTTTGAAACATTCTTTTGTCTTCCTTTAATCTAGAAAATATTGGCTATACTAGCCATACTTGGAAGAATGAAGGTGATTACCATCAAAATGTGAAAGCATAAGATTGCGAATTTTGCTATGGATTTTCCTAGCTTTTTTAACAGACCCACCATTTATCTGCTGATCTAAATTGATGGGATATTTAGTTCTGATAATTATTCTATAAAAACTATTTTTGGACAATATAGCACAAAGAGCATTTTGGTGTTTATATTAGTAGTTGGGAACTTAAACATCTATAGCTTTGCCTGTTAATCACCTGTTCCTTCTTGATGACATTTTGAATGCCAACCGATGTTCTTCATTATCTTGTTAATGGGTTCAAGTGTAATTATCAAGACACTAGGCTTCTGTAATTCAGTTGAATAAACAACTATCTTTTTAATGGGTTCAAGTGTAATTATCAAAGCACTTGCTACTGTAATTCTGTTACATAGCCAATGTTTATTCATTTTTTCTCGTGCACAATTGTCGTTTCAAGGATTTTGAAACTTCAATATTGCAATTATCAGCTTCTGCTTTTCTTTCATTCTATAGTTTCTTGTGGATTGCTTAGAGTGCTAATCTATCCTTTTCTTAATTTAATCAGTCGCGAAATGTTTAATAAATGGCAAGCTCAAAGGTGGTGGGCTGAGAACTATGAAAAGGTCATGGAATTATACAATGTTCAACGCTTTAATCGTCAAGCAGTCCCGCTTCCAACTCCTCCAAGATCTGAAGATGAAGTAAGCTTCTTTTCTGCATGTGTTTTTAACTTTTTGTTGTCCTTAGCATGACTTAGTGAAGTCCTAGTAATTATTTTTTTCCAACATTTCTTCATTCTATCTATTTTTAAGTGGTGAACTATGAAACTCCTTTAGCATGCTTGGGATGTGGATTGGACACTTACACTATTTGGTTTGAAAGTAAGAAACCAAGTTAGATATATTTGATTACCACTCATTTAAAATAGATGCAATCAGTCCGTGATAGGGGATCTTTTCTCTTTGGTTTTATTTTTCAATTAACTATAGGTTCAACATATTCAGGGTTTCAAGCAATTTTGTTCTTTGATGTCATACTGCCACTTTGGGGTTTACTCTATTCATAAAGGGGATAGCCCTTGAATTTCATGCAAAGATCACCATAATCATCTTATTTTTAGTAAAATGACATTTCCATAAGTTTTTTGGTTTTTCAAATTAATTTTCGTTCTTCCCTTTTAGGGCTCAAGAATTGAATCTGCAAAGGACAGTCCTGTGACTCCACCGCTGAACAAAGAAAGGCCCCGCAACTTTGTCCGGCCAACAGGAATGGGCTATTCTTCATCAGACTCCCTGGATCATCACCCAATGCAGTCCCGTCAATACTCTGACTCAGCTGCACTTGTTTCAACACCAAAACTCTCCAGCATTAGTGCAATCAAGACTGAGACTTCATCCATAGATGGCTCTGTTAGGACTAGTTCATCAAGAGAGGCAGATCGCTCTGGAGAGCTCTCTATCAGTAATGCCAGTGACATGGAAACCGAATGGGTTGAACAGGATGAACCAGGGGTTTACATCACTATTAGAGCACTTCCAGGTGGTACTCGGGAGCTTAGACGTGTCCGCTTCAGGTATGTGGTTTGTTTAACGTAGACGACAGATTGATTAAAGGTTAAAACTGTTAAAATAGTCTGATGGTGACTAGTTGATTGCATTTTCTTGGGTTGAAACATGCGAATGGAACAAAAGCCAAGCTGTTATTTTGGTCTTATGTTTCCTTGATGATTATTATTAACTGGTCATTCCATCCTTCTTTGCTTTGAAGTTGGCTTAAAACCATTCCTGATATGCGTTATTAGTAGTAAACTGTGAAGTTGAGTTTGTGGCCAAGCCCATTATTTGCAAAAGAAAAATGATAGTGTCTGAAATTCTGACCATCTGATTACTCGCAAGAAATAAATGGCCATGAATTAGTTGTTTATCACCTCCATGTCATTTATGAGTAGTTGAACTGGTCTGTCAAACAAAATAGCATCATCCTTTGCAAAATTTGGATAAAATTTGCATGGGGTAGCTTCAGTCTAAAGTGTACGATAAACCTCTTAGGATTCAACTACTTAGCTAGTTATTTATTCTACTGAAGCAATGAGACCTGATAATAGTTAACGATACCAATTACTGAAAATACAACCAACTCATTCCTGATTTATTTCCTCAAGCATTATGGCCCATGAATTAAGTTCTGATTAGAGGGTTTTCTTTTTCATTTTTTCTTTTAATGAAGTTTGCTGTCTTGGGATATATTAGCTTGAATAGATTGATATAATAGTTACCATCGAGTTATATAATATCCAGTGAAGGAATGGGACAATCCTTGGTGAAGCAAACGGCACCATGCTCCTCTAAGATTTTGTTTGGTCCCAGTGAGTGCAAACAGCTTCCCTAGTGCATATAGAGTCAGTGCATGATCCGAAAACCTAGCCTTATTATTGCTAGTTTGACTCACGATGCTGGTCCCCTTACCTCCAAGGTTATCCCGCTGTGAATTGCGAGCATTTTGTGCATAGTCCCCACTCCCAACCCCCCTAGTGTCAGCTAGGACTCCCATTTCCCAATTCTCCATGGCCCCCATTAGCAAACAACAGTAAAGAGCTTAATATTTAATTCAATCAATTGCTTTATAGCAATAAAACCATTTTTGTTTCTTTATATGTGATGCAGCCGAGAGAAGTTTGGAGAAATGCATGCAAGGATGTGGTGGGAAGAAAACCGAGCCAGGATACAAGAACAGTACTTGTGAGATTTAGCAAATCAATGAGATATTGGCATTTGGAAGTTTGTCTCCTTTTAACCACTGGTGTTTAGACAATTCTGTGTACCTGGGCACTTCCTATTGTTCTGCTTAGATATACACTCAAATACTACTTTTTCCCCATATTTGGTTGGATGCAGTTGTTGGGTGCTTTTGGGGTTTTGACAAATTGGTGCAGAAATTGAAAAGATGATGAGAAATGTTTAGTTAAAATAATTCTTGTTCATTTTCATTAGAGCTATACTTTTCATCCAAACTATTTATATAAGTTATAACCTTGATATTATCTCACATTTACAGGCTTTTTTTTCATTGAGATGGGGGTGTTTTCCCCTGTTTGTTTGAGGGGAAGAAAAAAGATTAAAATGAAAATTTTTGTATTTGACTCTTTTATGTTCTCACCATTTTTATACGGGTCCATAGGTTGAAATAAGATGAACAATTGTTAATGTTCTTCGATGGCTTTATATTTTCGAAATAAGCAAAACCCAAATTGAAATATATATTCTTTTTACTTATTAGAAAAAAGAAACAAAACTTGAATTAAAATCTCCTCAAATCATTTAATAGCTTGACGTTCCATGATTGGTCCATTTTAATTTTGATTTGATCTTAATTACTTTTTTTTTATATTAAAAATGATCATAAATTATAAAATTAATATTTTATCAACAAATCACTTTTTACTTTTGAACTTATATAGTATTTTGTAAAAATTGCTCTTCATAAGGAAATAAATGATGAGGTGAAGTAGGGTTCAAAATTTGAAATTGCCCTCTACCATTCCTAGTCCTTACAAATTTTCCATGGGTTTACATTTACAAACTCAAAAATATTAATTTTCAACTCAATTTGCTTTATTCCTTTCTTTATCTTCTATTTAAAAAAAAAAAGCAAAAATATAAAGGGCAAAGAGCTCTCTAATTTTTTACTTCACTCATCTAATCCCACTACGACAACCAAACTTTTATTTATTTATTTTTCATCTATAGCTAAACCAAAAAAATAAAAAACATTTAAACATTATACAAGAGAAGACCAAGACTCATTAGAGTCAACGACGACGGCGTAAACTGGCAAGCTAAATCTCTGTTCCATTGTAACTTGTAAGAAAATTTCAAAGTTTTCCTAATAATAATAATAATAATAATAATAATAATTTTCTATAAATCACAAAATAAGCTACTGTAGTCGAAGACACTCTCAAATAGAAGGCAAACTTGCGAGTATACATAATTTTAAGGGGCAGATAGTCATTAAGCAAATCCCAATTAGGAATTTCTCCCAAGTAAAAGCGTTTTCAAAACCCTTGTTCCCAAACCTCTTTCTGTCCCTGGAGCCGTTCTTCACACTCTTTCTCTCTCTAAGTGCAAACCCTAGCTCTTCCCTTTTAAAGGTTAATAATAATAATAATAATAAATAAATAAATAAATAAAAGAACCCTCTCTATATTTAAAATAGAAATTTGGAATTGGATTTCAAAAATGGGTTTTTTGTTAAAAAAATAGTGGAAAGTAAGAGTCTTTTTCTCTTTTTTTTTTTTTTTTTTTTTTTGGGAGTATTTGAAAAGAGGGAGAGAGAGTGGGAGGAGAGATGGTAAGTGGGGCAAGAATCGAAGGAGATTACCCAGCGCCAGTGAGGAAGACAATACAGTCAATCAAGGAAATAGTCGGCAATCACTCTGATAATGATATCTATGTTGCCTTGAAAGAGGCAAACATGGATCCTAATGAAACTGCCCAGAAATTGCTTCATCAAGGTCACTTTTTTTTTTTTTTTCTAAAACCCTTTCTTTCCATTCTGCTGTCTTTGCCCTTTTTTTGGTGTATTGGAAAGTGGGTTTTTGTTTGCTTTGTAGTGGTTTTTAGTCTGGGAGTTTGAGGTCAAGATTGTTCTGGTTCAAGTTGTGCGGTTTCTTTAGGGGTTTTTATTGTGTTAAGATATTGGGTTATTTCAGTTTGTGTTAAAGTTATATTTTTTTTTATGCCGAAGGTTTAGCGCCTGATGATTATTGCAGGAAATTTTAGCTTGCTAAAAATGTAGTTTTGGCTTGTTTAGTGATATTTCTTTTAGTCTTTTGCTTTGCCTTGGTGCTCTTCTTTTCGCTATAGTAGGTGCATTTTGCTGAGTCTGAAGGATTGCGTATTAGTTCTTTTTTGTTATAGTAGGTGCATTATGGCTTGGTGCTTTCTTCAATTTTGGTGTTTTGAGCCCGCTGATAAATCATCAATCGACTTTTTCTAGAACTTTGTTTGGTTTCTCTGATATAGTGGGGGAAAATAATAAAGTATTAAAGTTTGATTAGTACAACCCAGAATCAAAATCAAACATAATGGCAGTTACTGTACTATTCTACAATCTTTGGTCAGTGATCTTGATGCATGACAAGTAAGCTGCTTATCTTTGTGTGTGTCATAAAATTGGTATTATGATCCTCGTTGACTTGTCTGACCTAATTCTCTCTTTTGGCATTATGACGTTGGATAGCATTCACGATTATGCCTTTCTAGTGGTTCTTGTCATGGCGGGCATGGTGAACTAGTGACCCTGGATAGTCACACCTGGAATAGTAGGACAATCTAGCAGTTTTCCTCATTTTGTTAATTATCAATGTTAAGAGGGGATCGCTGTCTTTCTTGTTGTTTAGGCAACTTTCATCTAATTGGTAAATTGGTGTTGTCGATCTTCAGCCTTGTTTGAGTTCTCAAAGTTGATAAATTTTTTTCCTTTGGATACGTTGTGGTTTCAGATTGCCTCTTTTGTTTGAAATGATATTTCAAATGTACTTTTATAGATGTTTTACATCCAGTCTCGTTTTTTCTTCTCAGATACATTTCATGTAGTAAGGAGAAAAAGAGATCATAAGAAAGAGGTATAATCTTGTATATTATACTAATATGGGTTTTGGCAAATCTTTTCTTTGTTAGTTTACTTCCTTTAGCAATAGAAGGTTGTTTTTCAACATCATGCCTATTTTTATCTTAGCTGTGGCTGTTGACTTGCACATTCTCAGCATTTGATAGGTGCCTCTGTTTTTTAATTCTTAGTCATTTATTATTATTTTTTTCTTTTATAAGTTTATCCTGTGATATTCATGTGTTTGATTGATCTTGTATCCATAGTATTTGAGATAATGTTAATGCCTTGAATTATTATTACTTGTTGTATCTTGAAATGTGAACCCACAAGAGGAGTTAATGTACAGCTGCAAAAATCTTGTTCTGATCTGACATTTCCTTATGATAGAGCATTGGGTACCAAGGTTCCATGGATCCAAGAAAACGTTCTGAGAATGTTGGTCAAGGGATGAAATTTCGTACATATCCTGAACGTGGTTCTAGAAAAGGAGGCTATACTTGGAATGCTATGCCTGGTAATGCAGTAAGATAACGTGTTTAATGATTTGACCTTTAGTTTTTTGCAAGTTAATGCTTGATTATATAGTCTCCTCAATCTAAACATTAATCTGTCCTATGTTCAAGGAGTGATAAATTAAAGTTAGGAATTCTTAAGTGTCTTTAATGATTTCCATCATTGTTAATATGGTACAAAGTAGATGTTAAAATTGTCAATGAAGATGGCTATTAGAGAAATTGGTAATTTTAATGATTTACATTATTGTGTAACAGTCTTTGTATATTGATGTTTAATGTCTTAGATTTGCAATTTGTGCAGTATGCTGATCTGTTGAGGTTTTCTTGATACCCTTGTACTTGCCTTTAAGAATTCAATTCTTTTTAATCCATCCTTCCATGAAATCCTGCAGCTTTAAGCATTTTTTTTCGTAATTTATATAAATTTATACATGTAAGATGTGTTAGTTTTCCTTATGTATAGAACAGTTCTTTAATTGCATTGGTTCCTATCTACTTCTATGTAAAGTCTTTAGCTTATTATTGACTATCATGAGGCACTTTTAGCCTTTTCTGCCATTTAATGAATAGTTTCTTACTAGATGCAGGAGTCAACAGAGAGTTTCGTGTTGTGAGGGACAACAGAGTCGATCAAAATGCAAATAAAGATGTAAAGCCTCCTTTCTCACAGTACTCAACTTCTGAAAATGAGCAAGTGCTTGTGAATGTTGCTGAAAAGGGGTAATGTTTATTTGTTATTATTTATTTGCTGTTCCATTGTAAACTTTGTTTATTCCCTGGTTTCCTTTGCATCTGTATTTACTGATATCGTAGTCCATGTGAAATAGTGTGAACTGAGTATTCTCCTATTATTACTATTCTGCAGTTCAACGGGAATGCCAAGCAATCAGAGGCCTCAGAGTAAATCTCAAACTACTAATGTGCCATCCAGTTCACAACCAAGGCATGCTCGGGATGCAAATTCAAATGGTATTGATAGGAAAGAAATATTGGGCGAAAAGCGAACTTTTATTCCTAATGCTGTTTCATGGTCACAGCCAGTGAAGCCCAATAATAGTCGTGCACATTTTGCCCCTCAATCATCAAGCAGCTCGGTTGTTGGGGTTTATTCGTCCTCAACAGATCCTGTTCATGTGCCTTCCCCTGATTCCAGATCATCTGGTGTTGTTGGAGCTATCAAGCGTGAAGTTGGGGTTGTGGGTGTTCGCCGTCAGCTTTCTGAAAATACTATCAAAGATTCACATGGAACAACTGGTTCTCTCTCCAATACGCATGTGGGGAGGGACACTTCATCAGAGGCATTTCGACCTTTTCCTGGAATTTCTAGAGCAGACCAGCTCAGTCATATAAGTGCAGCTGAATCTGTCGTGCCTGAGATTTCTGGAAGCAGGTCATTCGTGAGCAATCAGTATGGGAGCAGGCAATATCAACAAGTTTTAGGTCATCAAAAAGGTACTCCCTCTCAACTAGAAGCATCCATTTCATATGCTGTTCTTTTTGTTGGTCAAGGGGGTAGGTTTGATATGATTATTATATTTATCTTTAAGAATGTTTTCCTGGGTATTCCTTTTCGCTTGTATGTTAGACAGAAGTTTAAATAACATGTATTTACAAAACATTAGAGGAAAAAGAATCTAAAGAAAAGCTTAACCTATTACTTGTTGGTTATTGCTGTATCATGTGGCATTGATGCTTCTCTGTTATTATTATTACTATTATGTTTTTTACAAATATGTTTCTGTTGTGTTAAAAAGAACCCAAATGCAGTTTCTTTTCACTTAATTTTAAGCTTCTTGAAAGTGTAAGGAACTTTTGAGTCTATCGAGGCTAAATATTTTAGAATGTAAGACATCATAAACCAGTGATAGAATTAGATATCAAGTTAATGCATCTTCTTATTATATTGCTGTTCTCTTCATTGACCAATTTATGTTTCTTCTATCACTTTAAACTGCTATTTTAGCAAATGAGTCAGTAGGTTGTAGTTATTATAGCACTTGATTTGGACTTGTTTCTAAAGTTTATGTGAGAGTTTATCATGTACATTTGGTGCAGCTAACCAACATAATAAAGAGTGGAAACCAAAATCAAGCCAAAAATCAAGTGTTAATAATCCTGGAGTTATTGGAACACCTAAGTCTGCTTCACCTCCTGTTGATGATGCCAAGGTCTTGGATTCAGGAATAGCTGAATTGCGAGATAAGTTTTCTCAAGTAAATATCTGTGAAAATGAGAACGTTATCATAGCGCAACATATTCGAGTCCCGGAGAATGATCACCGTCGACTTACTTTTGGCAGCTTTGGAGTGGAATTTGATTCGTCAAGGACTTTTGTGTCAGGTCTTCAAGCCACTGGTGTTGCCAGAGACTCAAATGGGGAATCTGCTGCTAGGTTGATCTTTTCTTCCAAGTAATTACTTACATTCGGTAGTCTAAAGTTAAAAATTTGTTCTTAAGTCAAGACCCTGCTTCTAATGTTCTACTTGTATTTGATCTAAGTAGTTTGTCTGTGTCCACTCCCGATACTTCCAGTGAAGATGCTGCTGGTGGCAGGCCCATTGAAATTTTAGATGATCAACTTAGAAATTCTGGATCTGATTCTCCACCCTCTGGTACTGCATCTGAGCATCAATTGGCTGACAAGGAGGACACTTCAAGTCCCCATAATTTGGAAAGTTATGCCGATATTGGAATGGTCCAGGACAACAGTCCATCCTATGCTCTTTCCGAGTCACAACAGCAGCAAGATCCTCCTGAGTTACCTAGTTTTTCAGTAAGTATAATCTTATGAATAGTGGCAGGTGTCATACAAATTCAAACCTTTGATCTTACTTGAATGAGTATTTATGAAATTTACACTTGGTGAAACTGATATAAAGCCACTTTGAAATTTGGGAATAAATACCCTTTTCTTGATTGCTCCTTGCAATGGAATGTTCTGATGTGGTGTTGTCTGATAGCAGGCATATGATCCCCAAACTGGTTATGATTTTCCATATTTCAGAGCCCCAATAGATGAAACTGCGAGAGGACAGGGTCTACTATCTCCTCAGGAGGTTAGTGGCAGTAACATGTATTTAAAGAGTGCTTGTTTTCTTTATCACTTGACTTGATGCAAATTCTAAATGATAATTAGGCTTTAAGCATGCATGCTGCCAACATCCCTGCATCAACAATACCAATGGTGCAGCAGCGACAGCCACCAGTAGCACAGATGTATCCTCAAGTTCATCTGCCCCATTTTACTAATCTTATGCCGTATCGTCAGTTTGTCTCCCCAATTTATCTACCACAGATGGCGATGCCAGGTTATTCCAGTAACCCTGCTTATCCACATCCTTCGAATGGTAGCAGCTATTTGCTCATGCCAGGAGGTAGTTCTCATCTTAATGCAAATGGCCTCAAGTATGGGATTCAGCAGTTCAAACCACTTCCTGCTGGTAGTCCTACTGGGTTTGGAAATTTTAACAGTCCATCTGGTTACACAATCAATGCTTCTGGTGTAGTTGGGAATGCAACAGGTCTTGAAGACTCATCTCGGATCAAATATAAAGATGGCAATATCTATGTTCAAAATCAACAGGTAAATAAATTTCTTCACTCTAATAGCCAGTAGATTATAAGCCACAGATAAACTAAATTCTGAGACAATAGTGACTGTGACTTGACGGTTCTTGAATGTCCTGGTGTATCTGGTTTTGGGTTGGCAGTGTAATTGGTCTGCCAGAGCAAGACGGTGTCTAGTTATCTACTTAGAGAAAGTTCCAACCAGTGAGAAAAAAGTAATACACGTTATGAAGATATTAGCTAGGATATGTCTGATTCTCTGAAAGTTTTCAAAGTATTGACATCAGTGTTTGTTGTTGAATTAGATAGTGAACCCTGAAAGATCACAACCTTTGACTGCTTTAATGCTATTTATTAAGCCAGGTCATTTGTGTTTGGATTTGGCTCTTCTTTATTTTTTCGTCCATTACTTCCAATGCACTCATAGTCACTGTTCATACACTTGGAGTCCATGATCAATGACTGCACCCCACACGTGTTAACCATGATAAAGAATATATTGAAAAGTAATGCACGAAAAACTAATGGAGAGGTTTTAACTCATGAGTTTTGCAGTTTGATTTTTACATTTTGTTGAGTGTTGACTTTTTTATTTGTTATGAGTCATGATTTCAAATTGAGCCCGTTGGATGTGTAGTGTGATATATCTTTACTTGTCTCGCGCACCATGAGTTTCTGTAATTCTGCATGTGTTTCTTTGGTTTGATGAAATGGTCTTTTGTCCTTGCTGTGTGTAGTTTTTGTCAAGTTGGCAGGTTTGGTTGTCAATCATAGTCTCTTTGCTAACTGCGTTGTCATTTGACAGGCTGATACATCAGATCTCTGGATTCAAAACCCGAGGGAGCTACCTGGCTTGCAATCTTCTCCATACTACAATCTGCCACAAACACCTCATGGTTATATGCCATCTCACACAGGCCATGCTTCGTTTAATGCTGCTGCGGCACAGTCTTCTCACATGCAATTCTCGGGGTTGTATCATCCTCCTCCACAGCCTGCCGCAATGGCAAACCCACATCATCTAGGCCCTGTCATGGGTGCTAATGTTGGTGTTGGGGTTGCTCCGGCTACTCCTGGGCCTCAAGTAGGTGTTTACCAACCGCCTCAATTGGGTCATCCTAACTGGACAACAAACTTCTGAATGGTATCAAGCTAACCCTTTCTCTTATAAGGGAGTGAAGTAGCGATAGAAAGTTTAAAGTTTTATTTGTTAAATAACCCACAATCTTTTTAATTCAATGCATAATTGGTGTTTAATCTCCTGTTTTCGTGACTGTTCTTATTAAATTGCACTAAAGCCACCCACATAAACTTGTGCTGTCCAGGCTATCTTTCTTGTTTAAATTGGCAGATTAAGAAAGAAGCCACCCACAAAAGTTTTCTTAGTAACTGTGGATATTGTGTAATCAGAAACCAAATATGATCTGAATTGAAGAGTTTTTTAGAAAGCAATGTGGGAGGTATAACGATTTTCCTCAAAGGATTTTATGTAAATTATATGCTTGATAAAAAATATTGTTTGCTCTTAGCTGCCAAATTTGGGTTTGATTTACTTGGTCTATTAGGCACAATTAGTACTTTTGTGGGATTTGTATGGGAGCTTGACTGACTAAACAGAGCAAAAATCAGAACTTATAACATATTACCCACCCTGCACTCATTCACCTAAGCTTTCTCTTTTGATTTTCATAATTTAATGTAGCAGTCAGTGGTGGATCCAGGCCAGGCATGTGCCTTTATTTCTTTCATCCATTTGTTATTTTTGAAGGGTTTGCATTACATCAGAGGTTCTTTATGTTTTTTTGTCATTGTTTAGAGGGAAAAAGAGAAAGCAAAGGGTGGGGGGGGGGGGGGGTCTATGTGGGTGGCTTTGTATCGTGTGTAGACTGTAGAGGTCGTAGGTGTAGGACTGTAGGTGCTTTCTTCCTCGGGATCGCCAACACATTCACTTTCTATGTTTGATGGCTGCCCCTTTCCCATTCCCATTGCCACTTTGCCCCTGCATTTTCATCGGCTTGTCTGGTTGGCCTTACAAGGTTCACCCATTTAAGACCAACCTCGAAGCCATGAAGCCCAGCCCCACTCCTTTTGTTCACTTTCTTCTTTATCTTTCATTCATTTTCTCCTGGAAGGAATAAACTTTCCTTTATGCTTTATCTCCTACCAATGCCTCCTCTTTCTTTCACGTGGATTCAAATTCTTACACTTATTGTTTTGTTAGATATATATTTCCTGCTCTTGATTTAATTACGTCTTCATTCATTACATCACCCAACTCATGGAAATCCACGCTTTTCGCCAAATTAACCTCTTCAAAATTTTATTTCCATTTCATATGTGGCCGCCATTGACATTTTCTTCACCGTTCTCCTAACAACAAACTAGGAGCAGAGATTTTAAGAGTTCAGTTATAATTACATCAAATGTTCGGCTATCACAATTAATCTTTTACGTATATGTTTTTATGTATTCCTTTTCTTCTTTTCCTTTAGAAAGTTGTTAGAAAAAAGTAACCCCAAACAGTTGGAATTAGGTGTGAGATCCGAGGGTGATTAAGTAGAGTTTGATTGATGGTTGTTTCCCACCCCACCAGTGTTTCACGTGTTAATGGCATATATATGCTAAAAGTTTGATTAAGGCATTATTAAGCAGACAATCATAGGACCTCGTGCTTGCTTATAATACCATATGGAGTAATTAATTCCAATATTAAGCTGTGATTTGAATGCTTTTAAGATTTTGATTGACTCCTTTTTTTTTTTTAATTTTTTTATGGTCTTAGGAAGCTCTACGTGCACCAGTTGCCATTACACACTTCTCACGCCAAAGCCCTGTCGTCCATTGTTGATTTGTGTTCCTTCTCTCTTAACCCACTCTATTGCTTAAATTGAGTAAAACCCTACCGATTTAATCGATAATTATAGAATGATTAAGATTAATAGAATCATTGTGTTAAAGAAAAAATGAAGTATTGTTTTATACAAAAGAATTCAAAACTTAAAGAGATAATAGAAGGATAAAATTTTGCAAGTACTAAGAATTAAACTCTAATTTTACTAAAATATACTTCTTAAAAAAAGGTGAGTGAAGTATGCTAAAAAAATGAAGTGAATGAGGTCTTACTAATGGCAATGTCCTGTATATATATGAGCTTAACTCGATTTTATGTTGATTTATTTTAATTTGTTTTTTAATTTCTTTTACTCAATGTGTACGTATCATGTTTGTTTTGTGAGTTTGTAATTTGATTTTTATTGTAATTTTCACTTTACATTTCCGCCCATTCCTTGTCACTTTTTCATCGTTTCTTTTGCTATAGTTTAGTTAAAAAGAGATAAAAGATGGGCTAAAGCAGTGAATCTAGGGATTCAATTAGAGAGTCAAGGGTTATGTGATCTACAAATGAAGTCCAACGAGAAATGATGAAATATATTGATCATATTATAAGATAAAATAATAATCATTTTATATTATGTTTGTTTGTATTTAAAGAAAAAGATAGAATTATAAAAGAGCATTAATTATCCTATATTAAAAAGATGATTAATTTTCTTAAAGTGAAAAAAATTATTTTTAATTTATGAAATTGAACTTATATATCTTATTATATATTTAAAAATTATATTAATAATTTAAAATTTATAAATTTTAAGGAATGATAATTTTAATCAATAGATAAATCATCTTATCTTAATCTTTGCATATGTCAAACATAAAATAGAATGATATTATTTAATTTATTTTATTTATAATATTATTTTATCTTATCTTTTCATAATTTTGTATAACAAACATATCTTATATATATATATATATTATATTATATATGATGAGGAATCAACTTACATCAGTGTAAAATTTTTTAATTTTATATATTTTTTAACTTTGATTTCAATAGATCTAAGGGATAAGATTAAATTATTTTTTTTATGATTTGTCTTTCTTATTTTTAAATTTATTAAAATTAATGGTTAGAAAAAAATATAAAAATTTTTTTTTGTATAACTTGATCCCTCCTTTTATATTTTTAGCTTATATATAAGGACGAAGCTGAAGTCATAATTAAAAGTGTTTATAGGTTGAGTCTGATCAGATTTAGATTAGATTTATAATTGGTATTAATAATTTATATATATAATGATCAATTTATACCAATTTATAACTCTTTAATTTTACATTTTTAACCATTAATTTTAATAGATTTAAGAAAATTTTACAAGTTTTAATTATTGATTTCAATAGATTAAATTATTTTTTTAACTTATTTTTCTCGTATTTTAGATCTATTAAAATTAATAATTAGAAAAAAATGTAAAAAATTTACATTGATAATTAAGTTGTGGCCACGAGTCACCATCTTTTCTTCTTTGTAATTGGTGACGATGAATTCGCATCCATTTCCAAAGCCACCAAAACAACAATCCTTCAAATGGTCAGCCCACAGCATCATCTCTTAAGTGACTCATGCCAATATAGGCTACCACCTGTAAGGATATATATCAACCATCTCTTTTCTTTTCTTTTCTTTTCTCCCATTTTCATAGAGAGTGTAATATTTAACATTTTTATCTATATTGTATGATATTATAAGCATGCATTATTAGTATTTATATATGCTTATGGGATTGAAATTTTGTTAAAGAAAAAAAAAACGAAGAGGTGCTCTCTCAAATGACGAAGTATAGATTTGCACGTTTTGGAATTGATCTGAATTAGTTCTTTTTTATGAAGTTGTTGGTTCATGGAAAAAAAATTATAATCATCATCAAATGTTATATCTTATATTAAAAAAAATGATGAATTAAATAAAACAAAATAATTAATTAAAGAACCAACAAATAATTATTAAATAAATCTAATATAAAATTGAATTAGATCGATTCACATATAATAAAACTTAGAATTTTCATATGCAATCATAAATTAATTTGCATACGGACACTTAGAATTTTCATATACAAGCATAAATTAATTTGCATACGTCCACATATGCTCGTGCACCATTATACTTTTGGTCAAATTGTAGTGATTGCTTTGTGAATTGAATTTGCAATAAAAGGACAATTTAACTTATGTGCTAGCAAACAAATTCTCTTACGTTTCATCACATATAGTTGATCATATCTCTGGAAGAAAATAGCCTATTATAGCTAATTGCATATGCATTTACACGTTCCTACTTGAGGCGCTAGGAAACAATATATCGTGATCTGTCAAATCTAAGGGGATGGTGGAGGCTGGAATCTTCATCCACCGGAGAATATATATCATCTTTTTATACATTCTTTGGAGGGATGATGGCAGTGGGAAAATGGGGGTAAGGAACTTTTTCCTTGTTAGGCCATGTCAATGAACATGTTATTGGATTTTCGGGTCCCCAAAACATTTCCATTCGTTGATCTGAATGGAATCTCTTTATCTTTAATTTCTAATCCCTAGCTAGTACACTATCTCTAAGAAACTAAACCTTCCTTACTTTGGTCTCTCTCCCTTCTCATGTCCCATAAAGTGCCATTATAGCTCTTTCGTTACTTTAGAACTAAGGGAAAAAAAAAAAAAAAAGGGAACAATGCTAAATCATAGTTCTGTTGAAAGTTCATAGTGATCATATACTTCTTTCCCATATAGCTTGTCTAAAGCCTATGTCATTTTATATTAGTCCGAGTAAACATTTTAACGGTTAGAATTTAACGTTTCATTTCGGAGGTTTCAAGTTCAAAATTTGGATAAATGAAATGAAGTCAATCTCAGATTTTTGTTAAAATTCCTCAACGATTCTCGAAGGCTAAGCCAAAGGTGTAGATTTGTTTTATGTATAAGTATTCACGCTTGGTAACTATATTTGTGCATAGCAATTAAGCATGGCACTTGCTAGCCAATGGAATATTTATTTACATATATATCGAAATTTGACTGTGCAAAGATGTGATCGAATGCTATGATAAATGGAGAAATTTCGTAAGCTTGAAGGGAATACATTTGAGGAAAAGGGATGATGAGAAGCAATGCGCACGCACGTTTGCTTTCTTTAGAACCTTTTCTTTTTAGTTTATAATATTATATCATTGTATATATCTAAGCTAATCTAATCTAATCTTCCCCTTTTTTTTCTCTTTCTTCCACTCATTCTTTTGTCCTAATCCTTTCTTAATTAGATTTATCAAATCATATTTGCTTTGCGGATTGTTCTAGCTTTGCCACCCCTCTCTCATAAAGTTTAGGAGCCACGAGTGTAATCATTCTACAAATAAGCACCATCCCCACATCGAACGTGCTTGCTGATCTCTTAATTTAATTTCTTTTGATCACCAAAAACCCAACAAACAAAACATTTTTTTTTGCCTACAGAAAGATTTCAGAGACATGTAAAAGAAGTTCAATAAAATCCCTTACTTTGTCATTGATGCTAACCAAAGCCAAATTTCCCACATCTTCATGGGATATATTATATTTTAATTATATGCTGTTATGTTTGCAGGGATGGGCATTGATCTTGATCTAGGGAAAAAGATTCTGTTCTGTGCTTCAATCATCTCAACAGCTCATCCAAGGTATATTTGCCACTTGCTAGGCATGCACCAATTAGTTATTATCCTGCTATGAATCTGTTTGAGCAAAGATATCATGGATGCATGCATGCATGTATGAGTGCATATATCAATATATGTACGTATACATATGCAGTATGTACATTCATGGGTTTGTGAGTTGGAGATAGTTTTCTGCGAACTAATGATCTTAAAGCTGGAAAACTGTCACTAATTTGGCATTAACTTAAATATCAATGATGAATGATCATCATATGCTAAGCTAAAAGCTTCTAATTCTAATATTAAAGTCAATTAAAAGTCTAATGGTTTCCATGAGAGAAAATAAAGGAAATCTAGCAGCAAGATTATGATTTTCAAGAGCAATAATAGAAATATCTAACAAGAATTGCTCATTGTTGGAATGTTAGGAAATGGCAGCAAATTTAACATGCATAAAAGGGCCAAGAGTGCCCACCAGTGTAGGACAAATGATGGTGCATGATTTTCCTTAATTGCTAATGAAATATGGACTGTGTCTTTGTCAATTAGTGAAATTAAGGCAGTGTTGACTATATCAACCACATAATTATATTCCATGTTCACTGCTTAAGGGTCATAAAATGGTGATCATCTTTGTAAATTATGATATCATAAACTAATTGTGCTTTTATGTTCATTCCCTGTTCACCATATCATCAACTGCATAATTGTATTGCTGATTTGCCACAGAAATGGGCTTAGCATATGATCATAAAAAGGTTAGACATATGCCGATCATCACGGTAATATTATAATACCATAAAATCACAACAGCCCATTTCCCTGATCTCCATTTTGGTTCTTTTAAATGTGACAATATTAAAAAGAATTGAATTGAAGCTACAGCTGGAAAATGACCAGTGTCTGCAAATAGTGTGTAAACTTAAAATTTAGGGAAGACCTTTGATATTATTGACCTCTCTTTCAGTCTTCAGCAGTGGCCCCCATTGACTGGAGGGGAATCAGAAAACCTTCATGTCACACAGTTGAATCGATTCGTCTGGTGATTTTAATACTAAAGCGCACAGCATTATTGCTGTTCAGATCAGACTGTTTCATAATCTTTTGCAAGCTCGAAATATCCAATAAGCCGCATTAGTTGACTGTGGAGGTAGCTAGGCAAAGGCAAAGGCAATGACAAAAAATTAATATTACTACTACTAGTACAACTACCAAACTTAGCCTCGGACAATAATGCTTTCACAACATAATTGCTCCAAATCTTTATACAGTATCCAGCTATTGGCTCCAAAGTTAGACGTTGAATAATACTATTACAAATATTGAAAATCATGAAATTAATTGTTACTATTACGAATACAAGAATATTGTTATAAAAAGTATATAAACTATTTTTATTCTAATACTAATTTAAAGGGGAATAAGAAAAAAGAAAAAGAAACCAATTAAATGGACCCTGCATATCAGTCTTGGCTTTGCTGTTAATATCAACATCTTCTCTGTGCAAATTTAACAATCATGATCATGCACATTAATGAGATTTATTTATCATTCTTTCGTTTTGATCTTTATCTTTTGCAAGGAAAAGCAAGGATCTTAGGTCACTTCATGCGAGCAGAGCAGGGGAGGGGCAAAATGTGATTACAACAGTTCAGAAAAGAAATTAAACTTAAATTAATTTTATTAAAGGACAAAAAGTTAATTAAATTATTAATTAATTTGCCACGTCATCATTCCACCCTGGAATTGGTTCCAGCTAGGACCCACTTGCCCAAGTGTGTGCAAGGATTTATAAGTGCTTGTGGAAGAACGAAAAACAGAAAAAAAAAAAAAAATCTCATTCTCTGTCTCTCTCTCAAATCATGTTCTCTGTTTCTCACTTCGCTTCAGGCGTGGCTTTTGGCTTTCATTACTCTGTCTTTTATTTTTTTTCTCTCTGTCTCTCTCTGGAAGCCATCAAGAACCCATCAATGAAAATGTCTGCTTTCTTTTTATCATAAGGATTTTTTCTTTTTCTTTTTTCTGCAGAGATTAAAAAAAAAAAAAAAGAGAGAAAGAGAAGCCAGTCTTTGTCCTCAAAATGTTTCTTTGTTTCTTTCACAATATTAATCATGGTTGCTGCCATTAATCTCTTTCACTTGTATCCAGATTTTGACACTCTTTGAAGCAGACAAGAAAGAGCAAACAATATCATTCAAATCCCACTGTTCGATTCCCTGTTTCGTCTCATTCCTCAACTTATTTTTTTTCAGTTTTCACCCTATAAAGTTATGGATATGTGGGATAAATTGCCAAGAGAAGATCGCTATCGAAACAGGAGAGAAAGCCCATCTTTCTCTTCAACTCTTCTTGATGCTATCTACCGTTCCATTGATGAATCCAATGGTAGTAAAGGAGAGGAAGAACTGATTTTCTACAGAGAAACTACCATGAGGAAGAAGCACAGCAATAACAGTTCATTGAAAGAAGAAGAAATGACGAACCTTCAACGTGCTTGCATGATCGAGAAATGGATGGAAAAGAAAGTTAGCTGCGATAATAGGGTTGCCATTAGACGAAAATCCATGGCGGATTCTGAAAGAAACTCTCGAAATGACTTTGATCCCATGTTGTTGAACTCAAGCTCAAGCTCTTCTGATTCTAGCTGCGGTGGTGGGTTTTCATCCTCAGAGTCAGATTCCTTTTATGGTGCAAAATCAAGGTCATCATCTTCATCATCAAGTCATTACACTACTCATAGGCCTAAGCCTATTCGGACGAGCGTCTCGGCTCGGCCTGAAGTTGAAAACAGTTTCCATGCTGCTACACAACAAAAGCCCAAGCATGAAGGCGGTTTTGTCAGAACAAAATCTAAAGCCTTTAAGATTTACAGTGACCTTAAAAAGTTTAAGCAGCCGATATCTCCAGGTGGTCGGCTTGCAAGCTTCCTTAACTCGCTTTTCACTGCAGGGAATGCGAAGAAGGCAAAGATTTCATCGTCAGGGTACGAGGAAAGGAAGTTAAAGTCTGAGCAAGCAACATCAACATGTTCTTCAGCTTCCTCGTTTTCAAGATCCTGTTTGAGCAAGACTCCATCTTCAAGAGGGAAGTTAAGCAGTAATGGGACAAAAAGGTCGGTCAGGTTTTGTCCTGTTAGCGTGATTCTTGATGAGGATTCCAGGCCATGTGGGCATAAAAACATCCTCCATGAAAAGGATCATCAAACATCCGTAAGAAAACCAATAAACAAAGAGCTTGAGTTCCGCATCATGGAAGAAAATCGTCGGGTTGTGGAAGCTGCAAAGGATCTTTTAAAGAGTTATCAAAAGAAGAAGGAAGAGTATGATATGAGAGAGATTGGCAATGGCAACGATGTGTCTAGTGATGACGAAGAAGATGACGAAGACGCAGCTAGTTATGCAAGCTCCGACCTCTTTGAATTGGATAATCTTTCAGTTATTGGTATTGAAAGGTATCGAGAAGAATTGCCTGTGTATGAAACAACCCATCTCGATACCAATCAAGCCATTGCAAATGGTTTGATTATGTAATTCAAAAAAAGAACAAAAAATAATATTAATTTCTCTTTTGGTATAGCATAAAATTAAATTCGGTCTCTTTTCAATTTTTATGATTATCTTTGTTTGCTTTAGTTTGATCATATTTTCCCCTTTGATTTCGATCCTTAAACAATGAGCAAACATTGGTCATCCGAGACATGATCACAGCTTCAGCAGAAACAGAGAAAGAGAAAGGACGTGAACATGAATACATGATGATCATTGTCTAAAGACAAAGAAATTAAATAAAGTAAGCTAAGATAGAAAGAAGTGATTGAAGATTCTGAAAACCGTGTTCACATGCGAGAGAGAGAGAGAGAGAGAGAGAACAAATTAATAAGTAAAAGACAGAGGTGAAGAAAGATTAAGATTAGGTGAAAAGCAAAGGCAGATTTTCTACTCTTTATCATCCAAATAATGCTTTTTTTCTTTTGCTGTCATATTTGTGGGTCCTTCGTTGCTTCAACATAACATTAGTCTCCAACCATACAATCCATTTTCGGGTTATTAGTCAAAAAATGAGATACTGTTCTTGTATCATATATTAGCAGCTTTTAACATTTTTATTGGGTTATATAAAAATTAACACAATAAAACTTTCAATATTCGTCGGTGATACGTTGATAGAGTGTTGACTTTACCATTTTGAATGTAAAAAATAAAAATTTTATTTCTTTGAAATGAAGTTTGTTGCCGGCCGGCACATATATTTTCCGGTGACGGCATTGTTTTTGCAGGGCAAGTGGGGGGACGTAAAATCGAGGCTAATGGTAGTGAAAAAGAAAAGGTCGCAAAAGTAGTGGACAAAAGGATCTAATCTTTGATCCTGTGAGGCCTTGATGTCAAATTTGGTTGGCTTCCAAGTTATGAGAGCAAAAAGGTTGAAAATGCTCTCCATATTCACCTAAAATATTACAACCCAACACCTCTCATTTTCAAACCAAGATATCAATCCATTATACTGCCAATTAAATATTCTCTTTCTTTTTAATTAATTAATTTTAACAAAATTATTTGACATTTTATAGTGAAAATTTTCAACTCTAGTTAACATAGTGATATATATAATTTTTTATTTTTTAAATATATCTTAAAAAATGTGTCATCCTATTAATTTCGTTTGTAAAATCAAAAAATTATACTAAAAACGTATTTAATAATTTTTCTTAATTTTATCGGCTGCCTTTTGACACTTAATAAGCACATGTAAGGCAATTGTTGCATACATCATTATTTTTTTTAATTTTTTAATAAATTCAACTCTAAGTTTTTGAGCAAATTAGGAATTTATGTAATATGAGTTTTAAAAAGGATAAATAGATATCATCTATGTACAAAAAAGAAGTTTTAAGTTTGATTCTGCTCTATTCTAATATAAGAAACAAAGATAATGGTATAACTACTATGTAAATTATACAAATTTTAATTAATCACGTTTCAAATATTCAGACCAATATTTTTTGGGTTTTTTTTTTTTCACATTTTTCTTATTATTATAATACTCAAATTAGTGTTTGGCCAAAAAGACTAATACTCACATTAGTGCAGTTAGAAACCCATAAAAACTATACTTTCAAAATTAGGCCCTCTGTACTATTAAACACGATATCATGCAAGCTACCTTCGTTTTAAAATATGAAGATAAATACAAATTGCAGAAGGGTTTTGCATGAAGACGAAAAATTTAAGTTTGATTAAAACTAAAGATTAGTCTAGTAATTTGAAAAAAAATGTTGTATGTGTGAGCTAGGCTCTAGGTTTATTTATACAATCAATTTTAAAAACTGGTATTCAATAAGTTTACATGTAAATTCTAATATTTACAATCATTTTTCTATTCATTAGTCTCCCTTGTATAAAAAAAAAAATCAAATTTGCCACTAACAAGCTTAATAATTATTTCAAATTGATAATAACTGGTGCCACATCTCGTGTGTTGCTGCAAGTTTTTCATATTATTTTTTTAATCACATTATTTGACTAGTTTGATTGAAATTAAACAAGCATACAAATACTATTGTAATTTATAAATTCATATAATAAATATTATGTTCCAATAAATATTATAGTAAGAGAAAGATCATGTAATTATGTAGTTCAATAGAAAATATAGTATAAATAGTACTATCTTCAATAATTAAAATAAAGTTTGCTGTCGAAAGAAGAATAGTTGTTTTAGTAATTTGATATCCAAGCTTTATAACTTGCTATAAAGACAAATTATGATATCCAAGCTTTATAAAAGCTCTAGTTGTAGAAGTAATACTCTTATATAATTTGCTATTGTAAGATAAATTATGGTTGCACATATTTGATTTTTCATATTTGTAAAATTGCAATACAGAAAAGAAAAAATTGTATTAGTAAGGTTAGATTCTATCTAAAAATGTTTGTATCATATTTTTCTGTTTGTAGAATTTGTGTTCGAGAATGAAATGTGCATAATATAATCTAAAATTATATTAAACATTAAGTGCAGTCATTTACCATTAATTGGATTCATACATTTTATAAATTCATAGATGATTAAGTTCGTAAATAGTTAAATTCATTTAATTTAATTCATAATTAATAAATAATAAATATGAATCTAAACATAAAATTTAAATGACACAAAACACGAATAATATAATTTATTCATAATTAATTGAGTTTATGACTATTATAGATTCATGAATGGCTAAATTAATAATAGTCAAAGTACATTCATTCATAGGTTTCATGATACCATAAATTCATGAATGATTAAGTTTATGAATATAAAAATATAGTAGTTATGAATATAGACTTAAATTTTAAATGATATGAAAAATTCATATATTTAAAATTAATTGAATTCATAAATACTATAAATTTATAAATCCCTAATGAAGCTAATATGGTAAATGACTCATGCTTATACTGCTATATCCAGGTGGCACAATATTAGAAACAGAAGAGATAGCCAATAGGATTACAAAGCAAACACATGATGGAAAAAAAACTTAGTCATGCTACCAAATGTTACAATGCTGATACATACGTATAAAAATAATATATTGTTAAATACAACTATAACCTTTTTATATATAATTTTAGAATTAATATTTGATATATTGACAGTGTAAATGTTTTATATAATATCAATCAATTATACAATAATATTTTATTAATAAATAAAATAAAAAATAATCAGATCTTTAAAATTAACTATTAATAAATTATATGATATCATCAGTTATATTTATTTTTAAAATTTGATTATTTTTTATTTTATTTATTAATAAAATATAATTATATAATTAATTAATAATGTATAATACTCTTATATTATCAATGCATTTGACTCGTAATTTTATTCAAAATTCATAATTATTGATGTTGACTTTTTTATTTTTTTGCATACACTACAAAAATAGCATTTTAACAGCACTAAATTTTTTGCAGTTCAATAAACTGCCTGCGTTTCATTTTTTAATTGGTTTTTCTAACGACAGCCGACGTTCTGAACCGCGTTCCAATACCGTAGGGTTTTTCCATTTTTAATCTTACCTACAGTCAATTTACATCAAGAGATTTTTCTCGCAGAGAAAGGAGACCTAGAGTCCATCTGTGCTGATCACTTCGTAGCTAGCCTGTTCGTTTTAATTAGGAAGAAAAGATAATAACATTTGATTAGCATTCTTATAATAAAATAAGCAGTAATAGGTCCTTTCTCAACTTAAAAAGAAAAAAAATATAGTATGTCAATATAGGTGTTATTTTTATATTTAATATCATAAAAATTAAATTTTAATTATTAAAATTAAAAATATAATATTTTTTCAAAAGATTACACCACTCTTGATTATTAATGTAACTGTTGATTAATGTGAACATTAAGCAAAAGCAAATGGTGTAATGGCATTAATAAATCATTATCTTTCCAAATATTCAAAGAAGCAAGATGTTAATATACAATCAAGAGGACCACTAAATCTTAACAGTTTTGATATCCTAATTAAGTTATCATAACATACACTAAATACCAATTAATAATAAACAGGCAAAATTTAGAGTTAGCTTAGACTATAGGAAAAGAAAAGGCTATTTTATCGTAAAGTCAAAAGTGTTGTAGGCTCTAAATTGCCTATGGAACTATGGAAGGTAAAAATGATACTAACAGTAATAGGGGGACCAGCTATTTCGTTTAATGATAGCTAATTAAGCATTAAGAAATGACATTGTCAAAGCAAGCAATTTGCCATGCAACCACCGATTTGCTGGGTTTCAAAGAATATAATTGCTTTTTTTATAGTTACACAGTTGAGATTATAAATTAATTAAACTATCTAATCAAGATTTTGAAGATCTTCCTTTGTATTTTATCAACCGCATGAAATCTTTTCCTTCCCATTTCCATGCGGTTGGTGAGGTGGGTGAAGTTGACAGCAGCAATCATGAGTTCTACTGATATGGTGGCTCTGACACCAACTACTCCTTGAAGCTGCGGTTTACTATTTTTCTGTAGCTATACCCCTTAATGATTAATCGGTGCCCTTTGTTGAGGCCAACTGGAGGTTTATTTTCGAGTTTACTACTTTTGTTATGGACCGTGCCGTGCAATTGGATGCTCCTCACTTCGTTTCACTTACTTAAAAAGGTGGTAAATGACATAAATAAAATAAATTATTATTAATGAATATATTTTTATTTTTATGAAATTATAAAAAAAGAAATTGATTAAAAGAATTAAATGAGAAAATACAAAAAAAAGGTTGTATAGACCAATATAGACCAGTACAACTAATACAAGTCAGTACAAATTGGTACGGACCAAAACGGATCTTTATAACCTGAACAAAAATCGAAATTAATCAATACTAATATCATATCAATTTCACTCAAAATTGGTATGCAATAACCGAAACGCGTATGGCATGATAATCATGATTTAACTGACTTTTGACTGATTAGATAAAAAAGTATATATATTTTTTATTTTTTAGAATGAATAGACCACCAATTTATAATTTAATTGATTCAATCCAAACTGATTTTAAGAACACTAATCACATGCATCAGA